GATATTACATTACTTATTCTAAGATTTTAAATTAGTATACTGTATCATGTATTATATTAATGTATGTAATCATATATTTAATCTTTGTATATTTTAATTGTAAATTACATATCTAGTATTATTATTGCTTTATTGTTATTTTAATTATATTCTAGATCCTAGCTTCTTAATAATATTATTTTTTATTTGTCTCTTAAAGTGCATTTTATATAAATTTTATACTTTTGACTTCTATGTATAATATTTTAATAATTTGCGTTTCAATAAGATCATTGTTATCACTATGAAGGAAGTGTAAAAAAAGAAACAGTGAAAAAGAAATTTACATTTGAGAGAATCGCAGAATCCGCTTATTATAAAAGTAGAACAACTTTGGAAAGATATGGAGTTGATTGAAACGCCGAAGATAAACTAATGCGATATCGAAAATCGATGTCAGCTTGTTTCTTGAAGCTATGCATTTTTAAAGTAAACAATTTATTATATCAAAAATTAGCTTTTGTGTTTTTTTATCTAATACTTCCTTGCTTTAAAATTTCCGAGAATATGCAAACATTGCAGACACAGACATTTTAATTTATTAAAACGCGTTTAATTAACAACAACGTTGGTCAAGAGCAGGTAACGTTGGAAGGTGTAAACGAGGATAATTGCGTCTCACCTAACGTCATCGTGCTTTTGTAGCGCGCCACTCTACGTATAAAATTGGTTGGAATCGATCTTAAGAGCCCTGCCCGAGTGCCGGAGGGATGCTCGGAAACGGGGAACGACTTGACCTTGGCTGGATTCACGCGTAGCTGAGCTAACGCAAAATCGAAACGCGTTACTTCCACCGCGTGGATCTCCTAAAGCCGGGTTCACATCGTGACCTGCAGCGGTAGCTCTCCGGATGCTGGGATGTCCGCAAACGCGACTGCGCACACAGATCCATAGGTCCCGGATAAAAAAAAGTCGTCGAAAATTTTGGAAAACTACTTTTCCGTACCTATATATATGTAGTAAATACGTAAACTAAGATGATAATAAATCGATAACTATATAACAAAGCGTGACAATGAATGAATAGGCTGCAAGTTATAAAGCATAAACTTATAAAGCATAGCTTTAAAAACTCAATTACAATAATTATGTTATTTCATGAAGGATCATATTTAAAGGCTTTATGAATCTTGTATAATTTTAGATTAATTTATTAAATTGAACTTTTATAAAATTATCACAATTATTACAAGAAATTTTGAAGGTCTAATCAATGTTGACGAGAGTAAGCATATATACTTTTTTAATATAAAAATTTTAGTTTTAATTAATTTTATTGCTATATTTATATTTGATATTTACACGACACTATTTTCAAATATATAGTATTTCTGCTAAAATATCGGATTTCTATTTCTTTCAATCAAAATCTCTTTTACAATCTACAAAAATGCTAATACATTTATTAAAATATAAAAAAAAAATCTGCTTGCTGCTAAATTACTTCAAGCATCTGTTGAAATTTGTTTCCATTTCGCAACTGTTATCTTCCGAAGTTTCCGTGAAGCGCAAAGATAACTTAAGCAAACTTCTCCAAGTTTCTTATGGCACAAAGGTTGACCTTCGTAACTCATTCGGTTCTATTTAATCGGGCTGATGTGACATAATTATCTCACGTGATTGTGGTTTTTATTTCATGCAATTTTTTAATCAATATCTCTCTGAAATTCGACAAATTAATCTAATTAGTTTAAATTAATAAACTTATTTTCTGTAGAGGACTATTATCAAGTTATCTATTAATAGTTATTAATACGCTTCATGCCGCATTAATTTTAAATAATTTGATTACACTGCGTGAATCATCGGTGATCCACAATACTCTTATTTGCATTTGTTTAATAATTATGTATTTGTTCAAATCAAATGTATTTCATAATATTCAAAAAAGTGACAAAAATTATTATTATAAAAAAGAAAGTATAACGTATCAATATTGCATCGTATATATTATCATAATTATATTCATATATGGTAAATATTATTTTAAAAGTTATTTTATAATTACGTTTCTTTTTATAGCAAAATATCAACGGCCTGAAAGTTCAACGTGGTGACCGATGACCTATGTGATAGTATTGTTCTTTCTCGCAAATTAGATCGATATTTCTTTAATTTCTAGAAAATATTGAATCAAGAGATATATAAAAGATAGCATAAAAAAAGAAAAAAAGAATTAAATTTGCAGATGCCAAGCATCTTACTTTCACTTTATTATTATAATTAATAAAAAATAGACATTTATATCTCTTGAGATAATATTAAAGATACTTGTATACAAACATTTATATAATTTTCGTTTTATTATATTTTATTCTTTATTTATATGTGTTAACAAAAGTTATGAAATTACAAATATTTAAAATATGTAAAACATTTTTGCACTTTGTTGTTATATATATATATTTTCTATATCTTTGAACAGCTCGTACAATGATTTTTTATACGATAGAAATAAATCTATAACTTGATTTTATTATTTTCTAAAGACAATTTATTATACTTACTTTAACACATAGAAACAAACGTTTAAATTCCAATAAGACAAATGTCCCGATGGTGTTATTCGAGTTTCTTGAAACATCTTCGATAAATCAATATAAAAGCATTCGCTCCACTTTCTTCGAACCCATTACATACCTCGTTTCGTTCGAAAGCGACGTAAGTCAGTTTTCAAGTTACCAAGATCGATAGATGCTGTATCATTTTGTCTCCGTATCCCAATTGGAAGTCACGATACCTTCAGAATTGGAACTTAAAATTAATCATTTTCAAAATAAACGACTTGTGCCTCGATTCTTCGCAAGATATTTTCCGTGTGAAACGAGCTTGCGGCCCTACGCACCGCGTCGACAAGGGAGCGGATGCATCCACCTCTGCTCTCCCTGCCCCTCGTTCCGCGAGAAAGACCGTAGGGATACACCAAGGCACATAGAGAGGGTGAATCACCCCCGCGCGCGCCTGACGTACTCTGGCGTGCATAACACCCACGGTTGGTCGGTCCACGCGTGACTAGATACCGCTTTGCACGCGTAGGGGACAAACGCCAATTATATTTTAATATCCCTCCGCGCGAGACGCGCCTTTCCTCGGCTTTCGGAGCGCGAACGATACCGAAATTCCGACGACGTAATGCTTGCGTTTTTCTCGTATTCCTGAAATTCGTCTCCGTCTGTCCATGAAAATTGGCGAAAATTTGAAAATATTAAACAAGAGACGAGTAACGAATAAATTGCAAACAGGATTTTGCAAAATCATAGTCCTAGAAAATTCCGAAATGGTACAATAATACGATAATCGTTTTGTATTTTGTATTTAGTATTTACAGTAACGATTCTGTGATCTTTTTTTTCGTGCTAATCTTAGTTTCGTAAAAATCTGAAAAAATGCGAAAAGAAAAATTTTAAACAACACGATAAGAAATGATACCTAGCTATAATATATCTTCCTTTTTTTGGAATTTGTCACAATTTCTATGAAAATTGTTTATATTTGAACACACCAGAATGTACTCCAGCATGGGAAACTTTTATTTATCTGTATTCTTTTTTTATTCTGCTATTGTTGGAATATCTGTTTTATAAAATTCAATAAATTTAAGACTTAAAATCAAGACTTAAAATCAAGAATGATATGGAATATGTACCTGAATGTGATGTAAATAAAAAACAATTTGAAATGGGAACATTTTAAACATTTAATTAAAAAAAATATATAACCTTTATTAATAAAATTCATGTTTTAAGTGAATATAAGAAATTAAGATACGTCAATATAGAATTAAGAGCAATTCATTTTAGAAAAATACTTTATGCAGATTGCTGCTATTTTTGTCCAAACTGTCAAGGTTGATTCAAGTAAGCGTAAAGATAATATAGTCTTATCTGTGAAAGAGAGTAATCATGCTACATTCACAAATTAGGAACCTGGAATATACCACAGATAAAGCCATTTTATTTAAACTCGACATGAATCGTGGACTTGAATTATATCATATACCTATTAATATTCCTTTAATAAATCGTGTATTGTATCAACTTATTGCCATTTCATTGCACAGCTTAGAAGAATACTATTTTATCCTATTCTAAATCTTTACTATTAAAACATATAAATAAAAATTGTCATTTAACTTATTAATAATCCAAATTACTTATTAATAATCCGAAATCTCATTCTTTTATATATATATTTAATGATAAACTTTTTGATAAATTTTAAATCAGATTTAATCTCGAAATTGGAATGGCAAACAACAGATTTGTATAACAACAGATGGGCACAATTTTTTATTCTAAATCGGTCTCGATTAACCGAGAAATGTCGAAAGAAAGAGGAAGAAAGATAATTATGAAGTGCTGGGGGGACAGAGAAGACAGAGAAGACCGAGAGGCATATCGTTCTCGCGTTGCGGTTCGTCTCCATCTGACTGATCTGACGCTGCCGTGTATTCCCCCCCCGATCGGCGTCCGTCCTTTTTCCCGACTCCCGTGCAATGCAGTGCGCGCACGTTGCCGAGCGTGCGCACTGCGCGCGCAGCACGCGCCCTCCAATGTACCTTCCGCACGGTTGAGCATCTCCACCATTCAGAATCGATGATGTCACGAAGCGGAGCCAAGATCCCCCACTCGCGTAGCGCGGCGCGAGCGCGGAGAGGGGGACTGCGCCCACCGCCCATTGGTCCAAAACGGCAGTCGGACGTACCAACACGAGGCCGTGGCTACCACGGCGGCACGACCCAACGAGAGTCCGCGAGTCGGTGCGTGTCAGTCCGTGCGTGTGCTTTACCTAATAATATTTCCAACGCGGCTAGTCCCGCGCGCTCTCGCTTCTTTTTTCGTCTGACAGCCAACACGCATTTCGCCGCCCTCCTCTCTCTTTCTCTCTCTCTCTCTCTCTCACACACACACACACACACACACACACATACTCTCTCTCTCTCTCTCTTTCTCTCTCTTTTCTCCACATTGCTATATGTACGCGTATAATACAACCCTCTCTCTTTCTCGCTCTTCCTTGTTAGAATTTAGACGTTTGAAGGTATACCAAAGCTCTTCGCATCGCGTCGCGCCGCGTCGCGTTGAGTCGTCGGGACTACCCTCCTCCGTCCCGGTCTTCGACGGATCTCTCACGAAAGCGAGAGAGGAGAAGAATCACGCTGCAGAGCAGCACGTGTGCTGCACTCGCGTGGATCGGTAAGCGCGGTGCGGTTAAATAGTCATCGGCTCTCATCACCGCCGAGAGCCCGTCGCGCGCGACAACCGATGCGAAAGTCGTTGTCTACCACCCTCGACGTACTTACCGTTAAAACGTTTATAGCGCGCGACTAGCCGCGAGAGTGAAGGGGTGTCCTCGCGAGCAAATATCAGCCACGACTTCGGTTGGAGCAGTAGATCGGAGTAAAGAATCGGAGTGTCGGATCTCGCGCAAGTGACAGCGACGGACCCTGCGACTCACCTCCGGGGACTGTGATTCGTATATGCGAGGTGCAACGAAAGTAGGAATCAGCTAACGGATTCGCAGTGGTGCCTCAGTCGAGCGAAGACGTCGGAGGGAGGACGGACACCGTCGGCCGTCGGCAGCTCTTGGTACGTGATCACGTGTTTGTGAAGGAAATTTGATTAAGGAGTATTGAGTGAACGAATGCACGTAAAGTAGAAAGGTTCGCTGTGTTTCACTCATCAAATTTTCAATCTTTTACAATAAGCCATTATCTCAGCTTCAAAATCTAAATCGTAAATAATTGACCAGGCACAGTTGATTGTGAAGAAAATAATTGATAGTTATGAACAGTCGATGTTTTTATGATTTAAGACTAAAGTTTAGATAAATTATGGACTTAGAACTTGTTGTCGAGTGTTCACTAATTTTTTAGATCAACGATTAGTGTTTTAAGTCGACTTGTGTTTTTATTTATTTATTTCTGCCATTATTAATTTATTTTAATTTTGGACTGAAAATTAAAGAAAAAAATATCCCTTGTTTATAATATTGAATTATTATAAAACTTTCTTTATTTTACACTTCTTATTATTATATGATTAAATTGTAAATTAGTCAGAAGAGATTGAAATAAGATCTTTTAATCGAGTGGTTAAATTTAAAATTAAATTTCTAGTAGATAGATTTCGTTGTCTCTAATTCTTTTATCCGTCTAGCGATCTTCTGCTATCGACGGCTGAAGTTCAAAGGCTCGATTAAACCTGTCGACAGACTTGCTCAGTTTTCCTTTTTCGTTTCGATGAAGCCTTACACAAATCTTTCTCAATTCATTCGTTAACGAAAAATTATTTTAATTCAGTTTTAATAAAATTTTGTTTAATTTTTTTATTAATATTTGAAAATAAAATTTGAAAATAAATATTATAATCGCAATATTTATTTTTTAGTTAAACGATTCTTCTAGTGTTTTTACAATACGAATAAATTAGATTTTCAGTATAAAACAATAAAACAATAATAACGAATTATCAGTAAAATTCATTTTAAAGTGATAAAGAAATGTAATATTGATTGCATAATTTTTGTCACTTTTCACAATAAAAATTAATTTCATACGATAGCAAGCAGATTCAATTTGCTGAGATTTAATCCGTTTTTGCTTATCCATAAAGAAGCATATTTAAAAATATTACCTCTTTCTCTCTCTCTCTCTCTCTCTCTCTCTCTCTCTCTCTCT